TGACAGCCGCCGGACAGCCAGCGTGAATCCTTTAAGTTTCCTTTGTTCGGAATGTACTAATGCCGGTTTTTCACTGTGTGATTTATCGGTTTCGAGGTTCACAGTTCGAGTTTCAAATGCATTTTCCATGTTACCCGGGTCCGCTGTCAGGGCTACAACTACAGCCAACTTAAAATAGCTTTGGTTACCTCTCATTTCACTTCCTCCACGCCCTGTATCTACGTGGGTGAGCAAACTATTTGGCTTCCACACTGTCAACTCATCTCAACCCGTACTTTTTTTTTGCCTGCAATAATAACTGAGTGATAAAGTTTCGGTGTGACAATGGGCAGGAACAAATTGGATACAACCCGAACTTTTCTGGCTTGAACATACTGTAACTGAAACATAATTGAGTGGCAATAGCATTTTGGGAGAAAAGAGCTAACAGAAAAAAGGGTTTTTAAGCTCTTACATCTTCCAAAAAGTAAGATTATTCCCTTTGATTATTTCTGTTTCGAGTGAACTCACAAAACTATCCTGGTAATACCTGCCCCCAATTCCCCTCTTGACATATTTAATTGCACACTTAGCATCAAAGATCTAATCAAATTCTGATTGCCATCTTCCAGTTGGCCGGATCGAAATTGAAGGTATAATCGCACACGCTGTCAAAGGGAGATGTAGCGGCTAATTAAGCCTCTGAGGTGGTCCCAGGTCACAGTGACAAGCCGCAATCGGCGTTTTGATTAAATATTGACCCGAAACGGTCTGTGAATATATTGCTGACCACGTCTTTGGCGGCTATCGCAGATGCCTTCAAACAATTACGGCTAAATTCATTAGTGAGTCATGCATAATTAAGGGGAGCCAGCGTGACACCTTCGTGGCCAGAGCAGCTTGTGCTCGAGGGAGGCGGCGGGGAGGATGCATAAGTGCGAAGCGATTGGTGTGGGTTACCAGGATGCCAGAAGTTGAACATCGATGGCTATGGCGATGGCATAAAAAAGAAATCAATGTCCTTGCAGGAAGTGCCTTGGCAATTTGCAATCCTTTGTGCCATTACACAAGCTTCCGCTGTCTGGTCGTGCTCCAGGTCCTGGGTGGGGTTCCGCTCCTAGTTGGGTCGTGCGCCTGCAGCCACACGCCGCTGCAATCAAAGCGTGGCCCGAGTGCTTCAGACCAGCAGGAGCATTAATCCTTCATTGGCAATCAGGAACCTGTGATGAACTCGCTCTGCCCCGAAACGGAAGTTGTAAAAATGCCAACGCCGCACAAAGCTAACATGGGGGAATTTTCGGTGCCTAGCTCTTGGGCGGATGCCTGGCGGCGGCTCCACAAGGCGACGGGGGATGGGGGCTAACCAGTGGCACGGAACCGATTATAGTATTCCGTATTTGGATTCGGATTCAGATTCAGATCCGCCTGGGGGCATTCGTCAAACGACGCAGCAAGCGAAGCAATTGTTTCGCCAAGTTCCTTTGTTCATTATGTGTACTCTCTGCTCCTTTCAGTTCCTTTATTTTCGCTTCGCTACGTTTGTCCTTGGTCCTTGGTCCTTGGCACGGCATGGGGTTGGGGTACCGGGAGGTGGCATAAACACTGATTGATTGATTAGAGGCTTGAGCCACGGTCTGAAAGAAGCGCACTAAACCTAATGAGCAGCCCTCGAGCAAGTGTCGCATCAATCAAGGACGCATTTAATGCGTTATAAGTGTGTGCGTATGATAGCAGCGATTTCTCTTGATTTGCGATTATTGTTTAGGTGTGTCAGTGTGTGCTCTCAGCACTCCGCCTGACAGCCGGCGATTAGCAAAGTGGATCACCGAAATGAATGAGTCCTTGCCCGGTCACAGTTGACTGAATCCTTTAAGAGCACTTGGCCGGCCTTAAAGCCAGGCCTAGTTGCCAGTAACTGTTGTTGCAACAATGCCAATTTCCCACTCCTTTTTGCGAAACTGTCAACGTGGCCAGCTCAAGTGTCGGCGATTGGCATCAGGAAGAGCACTGGTATCGTTGCTAGCTGACATCTAGCAGAGCTTACCTGGAGCTGCTGGGTCAGCATTGTTGTCTGCCATGGCTTCCGCTACCGGTCAGCCTCCACAACAGGATTCGAGTCGACTTCTTTAACAACACTTATTTGGACACTTGAATAAAAGAGTCTTGACTTGGCCAGGTTACTTTTAAAAGAGCACGTAAAGTTGGCTGATCATTCGACTTCCGAGAGCAAAGAAATACGACCCACAAGAAGCCTTAAATATTTCTCACTCTGTGGTCGAACGTCAGCTTAAAAAAAAATAAATAAATAATAAAATATATAAGAACTATTATTTTATTTAATCTTAGCTATGAATAATTATTTCTACAAGTGTAGCTGCTCCTATAGATACGCCACTCTATCCCATATGACGTACTATTTCATGTCATTCCAGAAAATCATATCAATTGGCCTGGCCACTGGTTTCCCAAAGTCAGCATGATGGTTATAGAGATGGGTTTGCTGACGTGTCCTCCCCCCTCATTCCGATTTGGGTACTTTGGCCCCGCCCTCCTCTATGCGATGTAACCCACTTTGTGACTGTCTGTTGGTCGGTGGGGTCCCCCTTGCAAAGTGCTCATTATCAGCTGAAATGTTGTCAATTACGGATTTTCGTTTGTTTTGTTTTGATTTGACTTTCAATTGAATTTCTCGCTGGAATTTGAATATCCGGCATTGTCCTTTGTCCTTGCCAGCGTTGCCATCGTCACGAACGGTTGCCTCCCCAAGAATCCAAATCCCCCCTTCTGGGCACTCCAAACCTCCGTTTTTCCCATTAAGCCGGGGCTCTTTTCAAAGCTGGCTGCTTATGATGAGCTGGGTTCTTATTGGTAAACTGCAAACTTTGTACATAAAAAATTAATTTGATTATTCTCTCTCCCCCAGAGCTTAGATTTGCGTTAATGACGCCATAATCAACTGTTTTATAGCACTTTAAAAAAGTTAATCCAGCACATATACATGCACTGGACATTTTATTAAGCTGAAGCTGTAACTTTTTTAATTACACCATTTTCCCAGACTGGAGAGGAAATTTGTTGATGCTGCCATTCGAAGAGCAGAGTCCAAATAATTTGTTAATTTATACGCTTTATTATTACGACCCCCGAGACCAGCACGGACACAGGAATATCATGTAGGATATCTATTTCACAACGCACCCAAATGCGGTCGGAGGAGGGATGATGTTATCACTAAGCAGAGGAATTCAATTAAAATCATAATGAAATATTTGAAAATTTGTTTTTATCAAATTTCGTACGGACAGCACATTTTGTGAATTTCAAATGCGAAGGCACAAAGACAATGGCCAGGAACAGAGGGGATTGAAAGGGGGATCACCCTGCCGGGCAACCGCAAAATAATTTCCTTGGTGCCCCGAATACAGAAAGGCTATTACTCAGGGAGAGCCAGGGCTCCGACTTTTAGGCCATATTCCATTCAAACAATAACACCGGAACATTAAAGTTCAAAATGATGACCCGAACATAATCGACTTGCCTACAATAATATTTAAATTTAATTTAAATGCTCACATGAGGGCATTTAACAGAGTCGGCCTCGGTCTCGGTCTCGGTTTTGGTCTCGCTCTCGGGGCCCCAAAAACCCGCAAGCAAACAAATCGATGAGGATGTGTCTCAATCTGCCGGACAATTTGCAAAACGATATGCTTGAAATAGAAAGGTCGTTGGGCATGCAAAATGCAAAGGCAACAATTCGCAGCTTTTAGTTTGCTTTGCTCTGGCTCCATCGGTATCGTCCGTCGTCCTTCGTCCTTCGCCCTGGGTTAATGCGTTTGTTGTTTTTGCTGCCGAGGGACCACGACGACAACGACAACGACGATGGCGATAACTTTGAGTCGCATGCTTAAAAGCACAAAATGATTGGAAGAGCACAGAGGACCCCGGTCCAGGCTAATGGCATTTTACGGCTCTGCTTTTGTGTGGGTATATTCCGGGGGCGGGATTGCCATTCAAAATTAGAAGCAGCCCAGCCATCCTGCGCACTCGACCTTAAGACGACGATGAACGTTCAGCTGGGTGCAGTAAATGACATATAAGCCCCGGCCAGGCTTAAGTGCTTAGGGCGCCTTGAGTTAATGCGTTGATATGATGATATCATTATCAAAATGTCCTCTGTCTCTGTGTATCTCTATCTATTGCTGTAGCTGTATCTCAGTAGTATCTGTATCTCAGTATCTGTATCTGCAGTGTGTTGGCTTGTGGGCCATTTGTAACTTTTGACCATTAGCTTGTGTTTTTGCGGCGAAATGGAAGCACAACAATTGGTCTTGCTGATTTTGTGGTCTAATTGATACACGAAGCAGACGTCTTGTCCTGTCAGCCAAGTTACAAATGCAACCAGCAACTGACAATTGTTTTCAATGTTTTGGTCAGCAAACCTGACTCCCTCGCTCACTCTCTCTCTCCCTCAGACTGAGACATCCAATCTATTTCAGATGTCAGGGACCCAGTGGTCGTCCTGTACTGCCCCGGGCTGTCAATCAGTGGGTGCGGACGGTTCTGATGCATCTGTCTGGGCGAACGCTGCGTATGCTTAATTCTGTTTGGCACACAGGAGAGTCGGAGCAGGAGACGAACCTATAGCCAGAGCCATAGCCTGTTGTGTCCTGTTTAGTTAAAGGTTTTTGTCTTTTTGTACTGCTGCAAATGCTGCAAAGTTTTTAAGCACGTCGAGCTGTTGAAACTTACGGACGCGTGTCATTGAAAGCCTTACAAAGTTGTCAAACGGGCAGCGGCGACATGGGATGTATAGACAGATCCTGAGACAAAGCACACACGCAGAGGATAAATAGACTGAAGAGGGGCCGTGCCGCAAAAGGCAAGAGCAACATTTCAATTTGCTGCTCTGAAACTTTGACAAGTAGCCAGCCAGTTATCAATAAGCCCGAGAGCATCATCTCAAATATGATTATACGCTGCTTCAAACTTTTTCTCATGCACCGTGCAACATCTCTTTGCAGCTTCGGCAGATATTGCGACTGGCGGACATGGCCAGCCAGAGGATCGGGCCAGGACGAGGCGGTGGAGGAGGAGGAGGAGCCTTGCATACAGCATTCAATATGCTGGCGTTGAGCTGGATTATAATCTCGGAGTTATTGCTCAGTGGTAAGTGTGCCAAAGAGCCATATATAAATGGCATATTGCAGGGCTTCCGCTTCCCATTCTCGCAGCCAGCGGCTGTCATGTCGAACAAGCTGAATTTATTATGCCAACTGCGTGTACCGTCGTGGTTTAAATTGATTATTTAATCTACCAAATAACTGTTTATATTATGCCCGCCGCCCACCAGGCCAAAACCGAACCATTTCGACCAACTCGTCCGCCGAGCGGCGGTGAAGTAGTCAAGGGAGTGTGTGTGCGAGCAGCGCTTGCCTTTGATTAATATCGGTTTGTTCAATTAAAGTCGCCATAATTTGGCCAACCACATGCCAGTCAGTTCACTCGTTTCCGTTCGAGCCCGCAAATCGATGAAAACTTTCCGAATGACATGTCGACCACTCCACGGGCAGTTCATTTAACGAACGAGCTGTGAGCTCGTACTCTTCAGTTTCTAGAGTACATATTTATTGTGGATTTTTATGAGACAGGAAAATAAGTGCCTTCGATAGCATTAAATGTGGAGTCGAACTTTGAACTTGGAGGCTCTGAAAATCTTGATTAATTGCTAGATTATTTACATGGTAGATTTACAACTTGCTCTTTTATAAATATTGTTTATTAAAAATGAAAAAGTTATATATTTCAAAGTAAAAAATATTTTCAAAAAATTAAATATAGAATGAAATATATTTTTCATTATTTTACTTTCCTTTTTATAAACTTAAAGCTGTAATTTTTAAACGGGATTATTGTAACCTATCATAAAATTCATTTCATTTTGTTTAATAATGTTTATTTTCAAGAATTTGCTTATTTTCTCTCTGTAAATTCGAGCCTGCTTTTATCATGTAAATATTTATGTATATTTATACATACCTCCCAGTGCCTGGGCCTGTTTATTTCCCTATCCCGTGTTGCAACAATAAAAAGCGCACAAATAAAAGCGAGAAAATAATTAAATGCACTGCAATCTCACGCAAACAATTGGCAAAGTACAAACGATTAAGAGAAAACTCTGCAAGTAATAAAAACATTTCTTAATGACGACACATTTGTGGAGCAAAATGGAGTGCTAGAAAAACAAAAGAAATTATGTACAGCTCGTAATATATGTACTAGAGTGAATTAATAATAACAAGAAAAGGCAGCAGCTTGTGCTGAGACTATAAAGATGTCGAAAGAAATCGAAATATGACTTTACTTTGTTATTATTGCCAAGAACCACAAATTAGAAGAATTTGTAAAAGAAATAGAGAAATATACATTTCGTTTATTAATTTTCGATATTTTCTCAATATATTTTTGTCCTTAAAGAAACTTTAACATTGGTTCATCTTGCTTTAACATTAATCAAGTTTGCTAAGACCCTTGCCTATATTCCTAAAGCTCAATTTTCACTAATTAACCCTAACCGTTTTGTAAATTTAATACCTCTTCACCAAAATTAAGAGTACACTTCGTGTCTATGCCATAATTATATGGACATAACTATGCATTACATGATGCCGGCTTTTATTTAAATTTCCACTCGATTCCAATGAGCCTTGTTTAATGTTGATAATAGCTGGTAACTCGGGTTGAATTCCACAATTGGCCGGCGAAATGAATAAACGAATTGAAACCGAAATTAAATGGAATAAAATAAATAAATTGCATTAACTGCAAGTCAAATTTGGGCCGTTCGGTTGTCGTCTTTGTCATAAATTAACATGCAAGTGGATACCGGCAGTTCCACCCGGATCGGATCCCTTTTCCTTGTCATTGGAATGGGTAATTGCGTTTTATTTTTCGAATTTTTTGCATTTTACTTTTATTTTTACATTTTCACATTCCCTTTTCGGTTGGCGGCGGCATAATCGAATTCGTATTGTTGCCACACGACGCATTCGACAAGTGGGACTCGTCCTCCGGTTAAACGACATTTGGGACATCCTTTAATATTAATGTGTGTGTGTGTGTCGTGCTCTTTCAGCCCATTGCCTGAAGGATCTGAAGATATTTGTACCGGAGGCCGTCATCATGGGAAATGCAGCGACATTGTCTTGTCAATATGATTTGGAGCAGGTAAGCGACACTTCCTCGAGGAGCAGCAGGAGCAGCTGTAGCTCCGGCAACAATACGGATATTGTCGTCGGCGGCATGCTTAATTATTATAATTACTTGCACTTTGTCTTGCCGTCTTCGCCGTGTTTCCCGTCGCTTATTGTCGCTGCTGCTTCCTCCGGCGCCCACTATCTCCGTCTGCTCCACTTGGGCTTTTCATTAACGCATCCCTGTTATCCTCTTCCTCCGCAGGCGGCGCTCTACGCGGTGCGCTGGTACTTTGGCCAGGAGGAATTCTACCGCTACGTTCCCCGCGAGGCCAAGCCCACATTTGTCTTCTCCGTTGCCGGCATTAATGTTGATGTAAGTTAAATTAAGCATGGGATCGCACAATGTGCAGCGAGTGCTGCTTTTTCTTCATTTTAAGCTTGGCACTCTAAGGATATGGGGATATATAGGGAATTCTACAAAGATGTCACTGAGATGGAGAGGGTTTTGTATTTAAATTTCAATTAAAGTTTAACAAGTAATATTCTTTCTTAGAAATATTTTAACATATAATTTTAGAAAATATTAAAAATACCAATCAACATTTCTGATCTAGTTATCTCATTCCTTCTCCAACTTCAGTGGTAAAAAGTAAGCCTCGAACATAAAGTTCGGCTTATTGTCTTTCCATCGGGACTTGAACTCTCTGGTTATTTTTGCTTTTGGCCCCGACTATTGTCAGCTTAATGGACAAATCACTGGAGCAGCATGGGAGTGCATGTGTTTCGCTTCGGCCGGGTTTGCATTTCGACAAATGCAAAATGGGAAAGCATTCAAATGCTGTGCAAATATTTATATGCGGACAATGGCCGGGCTCCTGGCCGGGTATCCTGGGGCAGTTGCTGCGACGGAGCATCTTGCCGGCTCTCTCGCTCCGCAGGACACTCCTTGTCACACATTTTATTTCTATTGCTGTGCAATATTTGTTCACTTTTATTTACAATATATTCGGCTATGTTTTGCATGTTTGTGTGTGCGTCTGTGTATGAAATATTCCGCTCTACAATTCGGAAAGTGCCACAACACACACACATACACAGACACATGTGCGGCAGCTGACTGAAATATTGCGAAAAGTGCAAAATAGTTTATGGCGCGGCTGCTGTTAAAACAAGACAAACAAATAGACAAACAGAACCGAGTACAGAACAACAAGGAGGCAGGCACCTAGTGGCGAAAAATGCTCGGCATTTCGCTTTCCCATACTGCACTCATTAATAAAAACAACAGCCGCAAAGTAAACGATAAATTATCCGCTGAGAGCCCTTGCTGAAAAGTGGCGAAATTTCCTCAGAGACCCCACTTAAAAATCACTGAGTTGCAGTTGAATTGGAAATCGGACTTTAAGATGAGAAAAGTATTCTTAGGAAATGGATATAATCATTGTCTGAAAGAGAAGGTGTCCTACTCTATTTTTTAAGTATTTAAAAATTTATTTAAAATCTTGAAATATTTTCTACTCCTCTACTCTTTATGGTTAACATTATAAATATTTCTTTACATCTCAAAAACACTCCGGAAACCCTCCCAAAAGTCTCCCATCCGAACAGTGTAACACCAAAGCATTCGCGGAGGGCGATAACGAATCGATTGTCGTATAATCATAAATAAATAAAATTGAATTTGCCATGAAAAATTTGTGTGTGGACGAAATATAAATTGAAAACTCATTCGTCCGCACATAAAACTGCAAACTCACAAACAAACACTTCGGGCCACATTTTTCAAAAGCGCCAAAAAGGGGAACGTTAAATAATCATAAATAATGGCATAAAGCAAGGGCGAATGATGGAGTAATGTTTGTTTTATGTAAGCGAAACAAAGCAACCGATGGGGGCGGGGGTGGTGGCAGCTTCATAGAAATAATTTGCCCCGGCTTCCGTTTCCTGTCGCCGCTCAGCTCCTGCTCCGTTTTTCCCTATCTATCCTTTGGTCCCTCCATCGATAATGGCGAACTGGCTGGCCACATCAATCAGCGTGGGCAGTAGCAACTGCCGGACTTGATTAATTTGCTTTGATTGTGTCTTTAATTTGCACTTCCAACAAAGGAGGGAGGGAAATAAGCGAATAAAACGAAATAAAATAAGATAAAACACAACTGAAATAAGGAACCCTGCTCAAATGTTAATTTGCCACTAATTAGCATTCAAATGCCTTTGCACTAATTAAATATTTCGATTGCAGCAGCACCAGTAGTCCTTGGCTGTGGGAGCAGTGGGCGTGGCTGTGGGCAACGGGCGTCAAGCTATGCGTGTTAATTATTTCCTCGTTTCCTTTTTTTTTTATTCTCTTTCCGATTTTATTTGGCCTTACATCGCCAGCGAATTGGAAACTATTCAAAAAACACAACCAATGGCATTGAGGTTAATGTGCAAATTTTTGTAGCCTACTTATGTGCAGCGCCAGCAGTGGAAACTCATTATAAATTTGAGCAAATTTTTCCACTTCCACTTCCACTCCACTCCCGGGCCCCGAGCTGCTTGAGACGCAATCAGCTGTGAACCGCAAAAGGTGAAAAGCATAAGAAAAGCTGAATCGGAGAATCGGAGTCGGCAAATCCGAGGGGTGGTCAGAACCCGGAGCTGGAGCTGGCTTTGGTCGATTGCATAATGCAAATGATTTTAGCCAGCGAGCGCTGTGCAATTAAGTCTGAAGGTTGCCCATAGTTTTAGCTTTCCCCCCCTTGCAGAGCCATGTTAAAAGGTGGCTTTTGAAAAGTGCAAATGTGCCAAACCCGGGGGTAAAAAAATACGTACTTTACGCTCCCAAGCCACAGTAGAATTGGAGACTGTTGACTGAATAAAATTTATAATAGAAAAACTATAGAATTGATTGAGAAACAGGAAGAATTTATAACTATTTTTACTATATTTTTGAAAATGTTTCAACCTGAAATGTGTTTCATTAAAAGTCCAAGAAAAAGTCTAAGAAAAACTCTAACTAAACAGATAAGCAGAAATATTTTTCTGAGAGTTTTGGGATCTTAAATAATCAAGCAATTCCAAAATATTTATATATAAAGGCTAATCTAATAGTTCTAGTAAATTAAACCTTATAGACTGGGTTTTCAGATTAGAAAATAAATCCGTAAAAATTGTTTTAAGACTTCCAAATCATTCTTATGTTTGTAATTATCAAAAATATCAATTTTATGATTTTTTTGAGCTATTTAATCACCTTTTCACCCACTGTTCATGGCGCTAACAAATCGAAATGAGGCGCCATCAGCCAGCAGCTGTGTTTTCCAACTTAAATTGATAGTTGCCGGCACTAACGAAGGCAAACGTCAAAGGCCAGGCCACAAATGGAAATGGAATTTTTAAGTTATGCCAAGGCAACTCAACCGCCACCGGGCCAAATGAAGAGGCAGGCCCCCTGACTGAGGGACGGGGACGGGGGTGGACAGAGATGGAAATTTGTGGCAAGTGCCTTAATTGAGATTAAAACATTATAACTTGACTTGTTTTACTTTTGCTAAATCATTTCAAACAGCTAAACACGCTTAATGAGAAAAGTTCCGCCCGTGCCAAGTTGTCGGCCATTATGCATATGCATATGCCACACGTGTGTCCCCCGGACAAGTGTGTCTCTGTGAGTGTATGTGTGTGTGAGGAGGGGGGCGTGTCATAGGTGGAGTGGGTGTGGCGCATAAAGCATCGGGGAGGGCGAGCTCTTGAAAGGCAGCTGCCGCTGATGACGCCGCCGCTGCCGCTGACATGCGAGGCACTTGTAGGCGCCGGGGGGCGTGGCCAAGCAAAGTGCACTCGTGGCGTCCACTTGAGCGTTATTGGAATGTAAATGTATGCATATTAAGGCGGTGGGCAGAGGAAGTCGCGTCGACAAAACTTCAGAAGTCATTCAGCATGGCAAGGCAACAGAGCCACGCGTCCACCTCGGACTCCCTTGCACCTTGCGCTGACACTGCGAAAATTAAAAAAAGAAATAAATCTTTAAAAAATAATCTACATTTTTATAAAATTATAACTAAGGTAATTTTCCAGAGATTTTATTAATTGAAACAACTTCCTCAAGAATAAATTATAGGTATTTTCCTGACTTAATCCATAATTTATATTTTTATCTCTCTCCTAGTCTCTTTTTTCCCAGTGCATTCCACCTTATTCACCATAAAAAAAAAGAATATTCACAAAATACATAACGAAAAAAAGAGGGGAAATATAAACAGGAAAATCATCATGTTAAATGTAATTAAATTTTTAATTTAGAGACAGCTCCGCTCGCTTCGCTGGCAGTCTTCAATTAAAAACACAATTACCAGGCCCGCCCGCTGAGCTGGGGGGCTAGGAGGTCACCGAATGGGCGGCCTGGAGGCTGAGCGGGACAGGAATAGGATATGCCAAGTGCTCTAAAGTTTTGCGGCTTATTCATTGTCCGCCACAACAATAAAAATCGCCAGCAAGCAGCCAGCCGAGAGGCCTCCTCCGTGTCTCCTCCACTCTTTCACTCTCCTCCTCTGACATTGGCTTCTGAATCCTTCTGGGTCGTTCTGGGTCCTTCGGCGGAGAGAGAGCTTCACGAAAATTTGCGCCCCGAAAAGTTTTTGCACACTGTCAACACGGAAGGAATTATTCCGCATTAAGTTTGCGGTAATGGCAGCGTCAGTTGTCCTCACTTACACACACACACACAGGCACACACTGAGCAGTGTCCTTTGGCTTTTGCCGGAGAGTGTCCTGGCCGCTGGCGCGTTTGCTTTTAACATTGTTAATAACCCGACACGCCTCGCATTTATGCACAGCAATGTGCGCTTAAAATTAATGCACTTGCTACTGGGAAATTTAAGCGAAAAACCAAGAGGAGGCCGAAGCCTGGCGACAGAAGTGACCGAAAAGTTGGTCGGCCCAGAGAGTTACATAGTCCAGGATCTGGTCTCTACGACTGCTGATTTGAATGAACTCCGAAAGGGCTTCTTTGTTGGGCTTCTTTTTGGTCCTTGCTAATTGTATGTGCTAGGGAAAGGCTGTCCTTTTTTTGCTAACTCGTGTGAGGTAGTGAAGACTGATTGAATTTTTTTGTAAGTAATAATATTATTTTTAAAGGGTTAACTAATATTTTATTTTATTTTTGTAAGCTGATGAAAAAAGAACAGATACAACCTTGCTATCAAAGAAAATCAAGAAAATACTTTCTTTCCATAAAAGTACTTATATATTTAGAGTATCCTCTCCCACATACATTGCTCTTTAATCCTAAAACCACCACCCTTGAGTGTTCACTTCAATTTCCATTAACTACTTAAGCCAGTCACATGCAGGCACTTTGCCTTTGCCAAAATTTTCCCTGTCACTTTCCACAGCTAGAAATTGTTGTGTGACAAATGGCAACAAATAAACATAATAAATAAAAATGCGAAATGCATTCGTGAAGTGCACAGCGGCAATCGGAATAGCTGGGTGTAACTAGCTGGCCAAATGGCATTGGGTGCGATGTGTAAGTGAGTGTAGTGGGGGTTCTGCTGGTTCCTAGACCCATTCACATTGGCGTGCTGTTGTCTGCCTGCGCCAACAATGAGCACAATAAAAAGCCATGCATTTTCCAAACACCAAAAATTGTTCATAGCAGCGACAGCAACAACTACAGCAAGGGCTCTGCCAGCAACAGCAATGGCAACCTGCAACACCAACACCAACAGCAGCAACATGGAGGAGTAGAAGAGGAATAACAACCGCACCGGAAACATCTCATTCACTAAATTTGTGGTCGGTTTTTGCCAAGCGTTAGGCAGTCGAAGTTGTGAAATGCCAACGGCAACTGCGAGTGGGAAAAGCATGGCCTGGCGTGGTGGCATGGGTGGGAAATTCGTGGGAAATACTGGTATGGGGAATTGGTTGGGAGAACGCCGTTAGTTACAACAATGCTCCCGGCAGCGGAAATTCGGCATGACATAATACGTGCGCATGTGAGTGTGTGCTGGGAGGAGAGTGTGTCGGGAATAGGAGTGTGCGTGTGTGGTCCTGTGGCCGCGACTTGAGTTGATACAGCAATAATTCATAAAGTGTTGCATGCAAACGAGACTGCAGCTGAGCCAAGCTCACACAGATACTTGAGCACTGGAAAAAACAGAGATTTTAATAAAATTTAAAGTCGGTTCTAGTTGATTTTTCTAAGGCATTTATTTCAAAAAATAATTTTAGCAGGCAGTAATTATTTTCTGTCTTAGTTTGTTACATTTCTAATACACTTTTCTCTCAGTGCACGTGTGCCGCATGCGACAGCGTTGGTAAAATTAAAATTGCTGCACAACAAACAGCGGAAACTCAGTGAGGAGCCGGGAACAACTGCAGAAAGAGCCACAAAAGTGGGCAGCATGCGGCAGTGGAGCGGGATGAGGCGAGGGGAAAGTCAGAAGGAAAGACAGGGGAGCAGAAGGAAAGCCAGGAAAAATGCAGGAAAAGTGGGGAGAGCAGCCGGCATTGGGGGCACTGCAATGAAATTCATTGTATTCTTACAACTCGGCGACTCTGGCAGCTCAGCTCAGCTCAGCTCAGCCGGGCCGAGAGCTTTTTGCAGTAAAGTTATTATTTCATAAAGCCAGAATTATTGAAACAATACTTTACTCTCACACATGGGTTGGACGGCGGGGGCAACAAAAGGGAAACGATGTGCCAGAGAGTGTGGAGAGTGTGGGGAAAACTCCTCCACGTGTCTGTGTGTTTGGCATGCAAAATTACGCTTTAGTGGCGTAATTTTTTCATGCCTGAAAGTTGCGCAGCTGCGGCTGCTAAAGCAATATAAAATATAAATAGAAATTAAAAGCCAGCAAATAAAAATAAATAAAAGCGGAAACGAAAAAACAGGGGCGGGCGGAAAAAAAGAACTTTTCACGACAAACGCAACTTGAGTTGAGCTTTCCCTGCCTGCGTTGTCCTCCTGACTGCCCGGAGGAGCAGTTACAAAATGGCTACAGTTTCAAGTGAGCAACTGAAAAGGATGTGAGCGAGGGTGTGCCAGGATGTGTGTGTGTGTGTACTGGTGACTCTCCGCAAGTCGGCTGTAGTGGGCATATCATTCCTCAAAATGGCAGACATTTGCGTTTGTTTGGCGCGCTTCCTGGCGCTGCCACATCCGCTTCCGCCAGGACCGGCCGCAGAGTACCAGCCAACAAATAAAGTCACATGCAATTAAATAAATATGGCAGTCACAGCAGCAGCGGCAGAGGCCCCACAAACAAGAAAAAGAGTCAACAACACAGCCACAGCCACACGAAGCTGCTGAATAAATAAAGCGGCCAGGAACAACTTTGCGTATATGTTTGATTACATAATTAGTGTCATCTAATTAGATGAGAGGGGTTGGCATTCCCTCGGGCGGATTGGAGGCGGTAAGCCATTGCGTTTGCATGCAGATGAAATATGAAATAAAAAACAGTATCAGCTTGTAATAATTTAAATAAATATTTTAGGCAATAATTATTATATTTATTACCTTGTTTTTTGATCAATTTTTGATTCGATGCCTTGGTTCTATGAGTTTTCACAATACCTGCAAAATATATCCTGAAACTCCCACAGTTGAAACCCATTTTCATATGAATTTACAATTATTTAAAGCAGAGCTAACACAGTGTGGCTTAAATATTTATACGAAAACTATTTTGATGGCTTGGCCAAGCTTTATGCAGTGACTCCATATCCATATAGGTCCTCTCTCGCATAACTCACGTAAGCCAATACCAAATCATAATGTATCTCTGGCCCGATGCACATTATTCATGGACCCAACACAACAGCACAAACACAACCACAGCCTCTCCTCATGCATATAGAGAACCTTATCAATACGTTTCGCATTTGTTTTCATTTTACGATTGCGTAACGAGATCAGCGTCGACAAATCCGAAAGCCACTAAAACCACAGCTCGCCAGGGGCCATTGGGATCGAATGGAGCTGGAGCCAGCCATGGATGGCCAATATGCCAATTGGCAACCGCGAGGAAGATGTGCTGTGGGGGTTGGGATCCCTCTTGGTCTGGGTTTAGAGGTTCACAGGATTCCAGGAGCCCGTAGGTGGTGCTCTTATCGACGGCGTTATCTGCGAATGAACTGGCACAACTGGCTGGAAAGAAAACAACAAACTATAGTAAATATAGAGGGGGAGAAAGCCAGGGCAAGCCGAGCAATGCGCCAAAGTGTTGAAACAATCGTAAAAAGCTGTTGTTTGCCGCGGGCCACTACAACGGGGACGAGGAGGAGGGGTAGCAAGTGGTAACTGATGGTCGGGGATGGCTCTGCCAATAGCAACAACAACAGCAGCAACAACAGCGAGGATGCCAGGATTAGTACAGATGCAAATGAACAAAGCGATGGCAACGCCGGCTATGGTGCTCTGGTGCTCTGGCTTTGGTGGCATATGCAAAACTCGAATGGGTTGCGAACGAGTATTGGTGTTGCCTGAACTTAAATACAAAAGGCCAGGCCTGCGATAAAAGGACCTCTCACACACACACACACTCCTCACACCCAGCGGCACACACGGTAATCGCGAATGGTTCGCTGCTGAAGTGGATTTTGAGTAGGATATTGCACAACTGTTTGCCAAGTGGCAAGCGCTTGCTGGCAATTAACAGAATATGCTAAACTGCGACAACGAGTGTGTGTGCAATGTGAAATTGGCATGATGCGACTCCTGTAATACCCTGGCAAAGGTCCTGAAAGTGACTGCAGGCCAGTAAAGCCAAGCCACAGCCCCGCCATGGGGCATGCCCCCAACCAATGGCAGCCATGGTACTTACTCATGCCCCGTTGATTACCAACAAATGCGACGCTGCCTGCGCGGATTCGGATTCGGAATTGGAATTGGAATCGGAATCGGGGATGCTGATAGAACCCGCCCATCCAAAAATGGAAGATTGAGTTAAATACGTAGGGGATATAGAGAGAGCTTTCCTGCTTTATTACGTTGACAAGGACACTGAGAGAAGGTTTAAGGGAAAACCTTTTTAAGTTATATTCAAATGGGTTCCTTCTTTCACTTTTTAATAGAAAACATGTGTATAAAGTTAATTTACATAGTATATATTATGAAAGGAGGGCCAGTAGTTTATATACTTATTTTTTGCCAGTGCATCCTTCCGATGTATTAACAACCGCCTCTCCCATTCATTACTTGCCACTTTCAGCTCAGCAAGTCGGATGCCACATCGGTGACGCTGAAAGGTGTCACCCGGGAGCTGAGCGGCAGCTATCAGTGCGAGGTCTCCGAGGATGCTCCGCTCTTCCACACGGAGATTCGCTCGGCGCACATGCAGGTGATTGAGCTGCCAAAAGATGAGCCGGTGATGCAGGTGGACAAGAAGGTGATTGGCGTAAATGACAACTTTAAGGCCGTGTGCACCGTGGGTCCCTCGTATCCGCCGGCCAACATCACCTGGTACATCAATGGACGGATGGTGAGATAACGAATATATTTAAAATTAAAATAATTATTATTTTCAAGTAATAATTCAGTTACTTATCACCTGACTTTACTTTCTCTTATCCCACCCCCACTTAGGTTTACCCCACTCCATTGCAGCGCATCACGCAGGATGCCTTCGAGGGCTCCACCGCGTACTCCTCGCTGGAGATCTATCCGCACAGCCAGGTGCTGCAGGGCTTCTTCCAGGCCAAGTACCAGGCGAACATCAACCTGCTGTGCGAAGTGTCCATCCTGCATGTGTTCCACAAGAGCGTCCAGCAGCGGATTGGCCTGAGCAATGCGCCGCCGACGACCATCTCGCCGAATCTGTTGGGCCTGGAGGGCTCGAAGCGGTATGCAAACGGGGATCCGGATAACTCGGCGCTGACCGGTGCCTCCCAGCGCTGCTGCATCTGCTGTGGTGCTGCGGGCGCTCTCCTGCTGGTCATGGCCACGCTGACGGTGGGGCATCTGTGACCAGAGCGGATGGCCTAAGCTGCTCCCACACACCACACTGCCACGGACAAGTCGGAACGCGGAGGAGGAGGAGGAGGACGACAAGGAGGAGGAGGAATCAACAGCGGGAGCTGTGTAATTAAAAAATAACAAACAATATGCTTCGGCATGTGAAGCGTGCAAAAGAACAAGGAAATGCAAAAATCAAAAAATAAAAAAAAAACGAACACAAAAAAATCATTGGGAAAACCAACGGCGACCCTGCATTGTCAACGCCTAGTAAAGCATGTCCTGGTATTTTATATTTTTTTTTATTTGCTGGTTCGCAAACAAAACAAGCAGAGTTCAAACCGATGTAATATTTTTATTGCATTAATTCATCATTTGCGGCGGCTGCCTACAAAATTCCGATAATAAACCGTAAATTAAGGAGAAAATGGGATCTGCATTTCCCCACACGGCACGATCAGCGGAGGGTTAAAATAATAATAATAGTAAAGGTAAAAACATAGCATAAATTTAATACGTAACGCGGCGTGGTTGAACTCTTGAAGAAGGCAAAGAGAAGTCATAGTGAAAAATGAATCCATAAATTTAAATAAATTAACACTGGCACTTGCAAACGAGACGTTGCAAAACTAATTACATAAACAGAGAAAAAACCACAATTAATAAGCGTAAGAGAAACACACACATTTAAATACTAAGTACACCCTACCCTCCAACTACCGCAACCTAGGCACATAAGTTATGTAAATAATTACTGTAAAGTATGAAAAAAACACAAATAATAAATTAATAATACGAAACCCACACAAGGGCAGCTGACCGCGTGTAGGCAAACATTAATTAAAGCTGAGAAGAACAAGTTAAATACAAACTAATTAAGTCTTTATGAAAAATCGATGAAATCAAAAAAAAAATAAAAAATAAAGAGAAAAGAAAAGAGCTACATAAAATCAGATAAGAAAAAAATCAAAAATGAATATCGGCCAAATTCAGTTTAATTGGATTTGTTTTCGTTTCAATTGTGGCTTATTTGCGGTGTCAGGTTGTTGAAATTTTAATTTCCGTTGAGGCATAAGATGGTCTTTGTTTCTAGACTAAATTTAAACAAAAAACGAATATTGCAAATATATATATTTATCGAATAATAAATGTCAGGACAAGAGAGAATTTAGTGCGTACAAGTTAGTTGGATGATGTTAAGAGTATATTCTGCCGAACTCCTTGGCCAAAGGACTATTTTTAGAGGTTCCAGCTCAGCGCAAACTCACAACAAAGAAATTCAAGATGTATTTCTCAGCCAAGTGACGAAAATTGGGAAATTGGAAAGTATATTATAAGCCGATTAAGCAACATATTGTAAATCAAAACAAAACGAAACGATGTTATTTTAGCGAGTTGTGGCAGGCCGAAATAAACTGAAACGCAAACTAATCTTAACTAAACTAAAAACGAAACTAATAATAAAATGTAAAATCAAACTTAAATACAGGAAAACGAGGAAATAATACAACAAAGCCGAGCAGAACGAGCAGAGTCAACAACCAGGAGAAATTATATATTAAATATGCATAATTATAGATAATTTAATGGGAGTTAAGCAAAGCCAAAAAGGTCAAACGAAATCAAACCACACAAAAACCAACAAAGTGCACGCCGGCCGATGTGGGCGTGAGATTTAGCTCAACATTAAAAGCGATAAAGGCAAGAATTATATGACGAAATAAATAAATAATACAAAATGTATAAAAAGGTTGTTTTTAATTCTGACAAAAAGTCAGTTGGAACTAAAATCTCTGGGATTGCAAAGATGGAAACTATAAAACTTAAGCAAGGTTTAAGGTGAGTAAAAAATCCTTTTAAAGTCTTTACTCCTTCAAATTATCCCTTCACTTAAAGAGTCAAAATTTCCGTAACTTGTCAAGCACTTTAGGTGTGCATAATTAAGGCAATGATCCCGTTATTAACGGACACACACACGGTCTCCGGGCCACGCTAGGATGCCACTGTCGAAGTTGGTCCTTGTTCTCCTCGCATTGCCAACAACAGCTGCACTTACATGCAACACCAGCTACCAGTTACCAGTTACCAGCCGAAGCTGCTGCTGATACCGCTGCTGACACAGCCGGCGAGTGCTGAACACACAACAGGGGGGACACCGGAGAGACCCGAGACCTGCGACCGGGGAAACGGGGAACAGAGAACCGGGGTCCTGGGACCAGAAGCAGGACCAGAGCATCACCAGCGTCTCATGTTTTGTAAATTAAGCAAACAAATTAAGTGCACTTGGCGCCCAGCTCGCACAACACACTCGCTCGCCGCTACCTCTCCTCCCTTGTAAACACATTGTGATTGTAACAAAAGCATATATATCAAAACACGTAGGGTGTGCAGTGGGAGAAAAAGCAGGAGTATTCATATTTCTACAAAATTAATTAGAGAATTAATAGCGTTACATTAAAGTAAATTAGAGTTAGGTTCCGTAATTTATACATACTTTTTCAAAACCATTTAACTTAAGAACTTTAGACTTTAAATTCAAGTTATTCATTATTCAAGCTGCATTTCTTTGGATGCATGTTCGCCCTTGAGCCGAGCTGCCTCTCAAGGACATCGGGCACACACCCCCTAAGCGTACGCGCGCCACACCTAGCCGCGTCCGTTAGTTTGTCTTAATTAGTTGCTGCAACAGCGGGAACACCGCCACATGGCAGCACACGGGGCAAAGGCCACAGAATGCGAAAGCCACCATCTACTACTACCTGCAACAGCGAGGCCGCGACCCAGCGACCTGTCGACCCAGGAACCCAGCAGCGCAGGTAAGCGCTCGTATTATTTACAAGCCATTGGCTGCAGCCAAGACCCAACCGCAGTTGCCACTACTCCTTTTTCGAACTGCCACCCCCTTCAGCCAGCCCCACCCCTAGGTTAGTTGCCGTAATTGTGCAGTCATCGTGCTGTTTAAAGTTTTACACGCACACACGGCGTATGCGTAACGCAAAATGAGTAGGCAAAACGCTTCGAACACGCGGACGTGCCGAAGGAACTGGCAGAACCTCAAGACCTCTTCAATCCACTTCAATTCTGCTGACACAGCCACTAAGTAAGCAAATGGGTTATGCTGCTGGGTAAATCAACTATAATTACACTTGGCAACAAGGCTGGTGAAAAAACTATTGTGACAGAGAATGACGTAAGCCAAGGGAAGAACTTGTGTATATCTATATCCTTTCAGAGTATTTAATTTCTAGTTTGATGTTGAGGCCTTTAATAATCAACATTATTTTTCCTCCTGTAAACTCTTAACTAAAATCTGCCAAAATGTGCGTTACTTATGCCGATTTGTGTTTTTGATTTAAAAATGTCGGGACTTTATAGCTGATGCTAATCCCGGTAGCTTTATATGCCCACACCAACACTAATTCAAATGCGCCATTTTAATTAAATGCGTATCGGGCTACAAATAATGCAAATGGGATACTGGGATACACCAGCTTTTCGGCCAAAAACATCAGCAAAATGAGTTGCATATTTTGAAGCCTGATCTCTCTCGCTCTCTCTCTCTCTCTCTCTCTGTACAAAATGCCGGGACAATGTTTCACAGCCTCCACTTTGGGGGGCGTGGCAGCGCCAAATGATTTGGTTTATGGCCTTTTCTGCATTTAACAACAGCAAACACAGTGGCCATTGGCAGAGCCGGCTAGCAGGCTGACTGGCTGGCAGGCGAACCCAAAAACATTGTTAAAATACAGCAACATTTTTGGATTTATAGCGCGCTAATCGCGGCCAAACAGCAGCGGAACGGGGGCGGCATGGTGTACGGCTGTCCGTGGTCCGTTGTCCGGACCGACTGGCATCCCGAATTGTAATGGAAATTGAAATGCAAATGCACGGCATGACATTTACGAGTGCTTCTGCAGTAACATAGCAGCGGCAACATCAGACAAGAGCCAGGACAGGCGCTGCCAAAAACTCAACAATAAAATGTTGCAAATAAATGCAGAGAGCAAAAAACAGAAAATAATATTTACCTAGTTCAATGTGAAGTCAAAAAAACGAACAAGCTGAAATAATATACTTTTGGATTAATATTTGGGAATATTTATGGAATTTGGTGGTAATAAAGAACATATTTTGAGAGTCCTTATAAGTCTCAAGCAGTTTAAAGTTCCTAACGAACAGCGAACAAATGGGATAATTAATATGGAAAGTTTATATTTAAGGAGTTCATATTTAAGGAACTAATTTAAGAACTAATACTTTTATTTCTAATACATAATAAAGAATATATTTCTGAGGCATAAATCTTTTACAACGTAGGAATCCTTAACAAGATGTTACTAAATCTTAAATTTATTCCCTCTATACCAACGTTTCCCTCACTGTACTCATCCGGCGCCCATTGCTGAAATCGACGTGTACTTGGCAGGCCTGGCAATTCTCTTGGCCGGCGCTGTGTTTTCATTTCGCAAATGCAAAACAAGACGCTGCCGGCCACGCCCTCAAATCGAGACAGCCTATGGATTTATGGCCGCGTAATTAGCGGAAGAAACAGATTTTCGCCGAAAGGGGGATTACTATATATTCATGGCTTGGTCCTATTTCAGGCATGGTCGTGGCCAGAAACGCTTTATGGCCAAGGCAGTCGAAGGAGAACGCCCCAAAAACTGATGATGAGCATCTTTTATGACAACCATCCGACGCCTTGGACATGCAGCTGACGGAAACGTGATGAATGCAGCTCTCGGAGGCGACAGTGCGTCATAAATTCAGCAAGTGACGTTTAGCAGCAGCAGCCAGGGATGTTGGAAATTCAGAGCCAGAAGGTGAAGGCGATGACGATGTCGTTGCCATAATGCTGCTGCAGCTACGTGCTACGTGCTTTCTATTTGGCTTTGATTCGGGGCCATTGATCAAACGGCAGAGCTTTAAGCCGGGGCTCGTAGGCAATAAATTCGGTATTCGAAATCGCAATTCTGGCAAATAAACGCATATTATTGCTCGGTACATGGGCTTGAGGTGCTCCGACTGATGGCACAGGGCAAAGTTTGCCGGCAAGCATTAGCAATCGTTTGGGCAAATTGACTTTGCTTGTTTTGTCAGCCGTTGTTTGGCTTGGAAATTTGTTAATTTTGCGTTGAATTAAGATAAAATCTGCTTACACTGGCTTATGAAACCAAACCAACCCCTCAGACCCACTCAACGCCCTGGAAAGCCCAACCCTTTCACTCGGAAAGAACTCCTTTGTTGCTGTCGGGTGCTTCCCCCGATTGTTTTCAGATTCCCCGGCCAACAAGAGGCAACTCGGAGGCAGCCACAGTTTATTATTTTTGCTCATCAGTGGAGCCTTCTTCAACGGGAATAATGTTGTAGGCGCCCTTTTGGCAGGGCAAGTGGGCGGACCCTTTTCCAGCAACAATTTGTAGCGCAAAGATTAAAACTTTTAATTTGCTTTTAATTAATTAAGTTGAAAGTCACTGGATTCCTCACAGAGCTCTCGTTTACACGCTGCACGCTTCACCAGTTGGCAAAGGGGGCTGTCCCACCCCTTTTCTCCGCCTCCCCCTTTTTTGTTCAAGGTGTTTTACATGCTGCCGCCTCGTTTTTCGGAAATGAAAGTTGAATTTTTATAGGTGTGCTTAAGTTGCTGAGCAAACTCGTTTACCCGACGCTTAGTTTGGCCAACTTAAAGAGTGTTTTGTGTTATTTTAAGGCTGGCCAAAATAAGTTTCGACCGCTTTTTCCCTGCTTATGTAGTTACCTGCATGTCGACTTGCCTCGAAACAACATTCATCAGAGCCAAAGTGGAAAAGTTCTGCCTCAGCCGAGGGAGACGCATTCAATTTGCATGGCGCCTATCTCTCGGATCTCTCTGAGGTCTCTTCCCATCAGAAACAGAAACCCGAATTGGCCAAATATTGAAAGTGTGCAGTTTCTTCCAGAAGTAAGCTAATTGAAAACTATATTCCAGTTTTCAGGAAAACCCCGGAAATTGCCCTGCTTATGATGAGAGGAGAAGAGCGTAATATTTTCTTTTGTGACGCATTTTCAGGAGTTGTGTGCGCAAAGCAGTCAAGGTGACTGCTGCTGATGCCACCTGATACACGCAGCTGCAGTTCTTGGCCCCAGAAAGCAGGCTACACGATTGTTACGCCACTGCCAATGCAGTCGATGTCCGCTGCCTTTGAAGTTTCCTCCATTTTTAGCAGTTGCCTTTCACACAGACACATACATACATCTCTGGCAGATTCTCCGTTCGGGTGAACCTGCTCTTCCAAGTCGACTTTTGCCACATGGTTGCACTTAGGAAAAATAATATAAGAGAAGCTCTATTCCTATTATTTCATATACAGAAGATAAATAAATTACATTTTAATATATGTAAATGTTAAAATAACTCTAAAAGAAGTTGAAGGAATATTTTCTACATTTAAAATATCACTGC